CAGATATTATAAATTTAAATACACCTCATTCAGTTCCAGATATTATAAATTTAAATACACTTCATTCAGTTACACTTCTAAAGTTAAAGATCCACCGTTTAGATTACCAGATCTTTAGAGATAAAGTTGTTGTTTTTTTAATTATCACAACTCTTAGAATAAATGTCTGTTTTAAATTAAAAGTAAATTTATGGACGGGATCGTATTTTCGAATTGTGGAGAATCCTAGATAATTCTCCCGATAGAGCAGTTTGTTTCGCTAAATTACTGCCCTCTTTTGGTGAGGTGTTGCAGCTTTTATCATTGTTTTATTCCTTCTAGTAAAATAGATTACAAACAATGCTACATAAGGAAAGTTGTGTAGATTTGACGATAAAGTAAAATCCAGTAGCTTACATCGACGTCGATGCCTTCCAAAGGAAAGTAAAGCTGTTGAGGTTCGTCCCTGGGGACAAATCTAAAGAACTCCATGTCGTCTCTATACCATTTGACAGAATATAGCTTCTCTCCCTCCAGGTCGTACGAGCAAGTCAGCTGTGCCCCTCGCCCTCTGGGAACAACATGAGGCACATCAAGAGACAAGATCCTGAGGGAAAAGGAAGCTGAAAAATAGAAAACGTGAAATACAGAGTGTGGAGAAAGTACATCATAGCAAAGACGGAAACAAATAACTAAAGAGGTAGTGGTTTCAGTTTTCTTCACAGTTTAATATTTTATTGTTTTTTAGATGGATTGCTGCCTCGTTTCCCTCGTGAAACAAGGAGATTTGTGTTCTATAAAATCAAAATATTGGCAAAGTAATCTAAGTGTATTTTGGCAACTCTTTAACATCAAATAATACAATGGATGAAATAAATAATTAAAACCAATCGTTTTTACTGTACACGGTTAAAATGTATTTATTGAGGCCGTCAACAACCGAGTTAAGGAACACAACATTTTTCGACGTCATGTCCAGGAGCAACGCTAGAAGCCGGGTTTCGATACCCGTGGTGGGCAGAGCACAGATAGCTCAACTTTCAACATTTCTAAAGTCGTTACAAGTCACGTGATATTAAGTTCTACGTTCA